CCATAAAAATTTATGGTATATCGACTCAGCATGTAGCAATCACATGTGTGGAGATAAATCGGCCTTTATTGACTTGGATGAAGATTTTCGTACAACCGTAAAGTTTGGAGATAATTCTCATGTTGATGTCATGGGAATAGGAAAGGTAAAAATTCAATCAAAAAGCACATCTACTCACACCATCTCTGATGTTCTTTATGTTCCAGATCTGAAAACAAATTTACCGAGTGTGGGTCAACTTCAAGAGAAGGGACTGGAGATTTTTTTTAAAGGTGGAATCTGTACCATTCAAGACTCCAAGCATGGGCTGATTGCTAAAGTCAATGTAACTACAAATAGAATGTTCTCGTTACACCTCCCGAATGTTGGGCACTCTTGCTTTACAGTAAAATTGAATAATATGGCATGGCCATGGCACTATCGATATGGGCATCTAAATTTTGGAGGACTAAAGACTCTACAACAAAAGAAGATGGTTGTTGGTCTATCTCAGTTTGAATCTCCTGCAGAAATTTGTGAAGAATGTGTCACTAGAAAACAAGCTCGTGATAGCTTTCCAAAAAGAAAATCTTGGAGAGGCAAGAAACCATTGGAATTGGTCCATTCTGACATTTGTGGACCAATAAATCCAAAATCCAATGGAGGTAAACGCTATTTCATTACTTTTATTGATGATCTTAGTCGGAAGACTTGGGTTTATTTTTTGCAAGAAAAAACAGATTCCTTGACAGTTTTTAAACGTTTTAAGGCCCTAGTTGAGAAGGAATCTGAAAATTCAATAAAAGTTCTTCGTACTAATCGTGGCGGAGAATATACCCCACAAGAATTTAAGAGTTTTTGTGAATCTCAAGGGATAAAAAGGCAATTTACAGAACCTTATTCTCCTCAACAAAACGAAGTGAGTGAAAGGAAGAATCGTACAATCATGAATATGGTGCGAAGTCTCTTAAGGAGAAGCAAGCTTTCGAAAGAATTTTGGCCCGAAGCAGTTGATTGGAGCGTTCATGTTTTGAATAGACGTCTTATACATGCTGTTCAGAATATGACACCACATGAAGCTTGGAATGGTCACATACCTGCAGTTGATTACTTTAGAATTTTTGGTTGTATTGCTTATGCCCATATTGCAGATCAGAAGATAACAAAGCTAGATGAGAAGTCTGAAAAAACTGTTTTTCTTGGTGTTAGTGAGCAGTCAAAAGCTTATAAGTTGTATAATCCTATCACTAAGAAAGTGATTACCAGTTGTGATGTGGTGTTTGATGAAGAAAAAATGTGACCATGGGATGAGAGTTCAGAAATACAACAAATTCCGGCTGATTTTGATGGTGATGATGATGTGCAACAGCCAACAATTGAAGCTGAAGATGACAGTAGCCCAACACCTGAAGTTTCAAATCGGCAACAAAGTTCCAGCACTACACGGTCACAACGCATCAGAAAACAGCCAGTGTGGATGGAAGATTATGTCGGTAGAGGAAGTAAACAACCTGGAGATGAAGATGAGGATCCACTAACGTATTTTGCTCTTTTTTCGAATTGTGACCCAATCAATTTTGAAGTCGCTGTTAAAGAAGAAAAATGGCAAAAGGCTATGAATGATGAAATTGATGCCATTGAAAGAAACAACACTTGGGAATTGACGAATCTTCCAAAAGGGCAAAAGACTATCGGCGTTAAATGGGTTTACAAGACAAAGTTTAAGGAGAATGGAGAAGTTGACAAGTACAAAGCGCGTCTAGTAGCTAAAGGCTACAAGCAAGAGTTTGGTGTAAATTACAAGGAAGTGTTTGCACCCGTTGCAAGGCATGACATAATCAGATTGGTAATTTCGCTAGCCGTTCAACACTCTTGGCCCATCTTCCAGTTGGATGTGAAGTCAACATTTTTACATGGAGACTTGCAAGAGCAGGTATTTATTGAACAACCTCCTGGTTATGTGAAAATAGGTAATGAACATAAAGTTTATAAATTAAAAAAGGCTTTATATGGACTAAAACAAGCACCTAGAGCTTGGCATATTCGTATAGATACTTATTTTCACAATGAAGATTTTCATAAATGTCCATATGAGCATACTATTTACTCAAAGATTGGAGAAGGAGGGAAAATTCTTATTGTATGCTTATATGTAGATGATCTGATTTTTTTGGGGAATGATAGTGTTATGCTTAAAGAATTTAAGGAGTCTATGATGCTTGAATTTGACATGACTGATCTTGGACAATTGCATTACTTTCTTGGCTTGGAGATTGTACAATCTGGTAGTGGAATTTTTGTGTCTCAGAAGAGATATGCTCAAGAAATTTTAGAGAGATTTCAAATGAAAAATTGCAACTCGGTTACCACTCCAGTTGAAAAGGGACTGAAACTTATAAAAGAGCCAGCAGGACTAAGGGTTGATGCTACTCTTTACAAGCAAATCGTTGGGAGTTTGATGTATTTGACAGCAACTCGACCTGATATAATGCATGCAGTAAGTCTCATTAGTAGGTTTATGGAGCATCCAAGTGAAACTCATCTTCTAGCTGCCAAGAGGATCATTCGATACTTGCGAGGTACTGTGGACTTTGGACTCTTCTACAAAAGAGGTGAAAAATCAGAATTGATTGGCTTTACAGACAGCGATTATGCCGGGGATGTGGATGACAGAAGAAGCACATCTGGATATGCTTTTATGTTGGGTTCTGCAGCTATTTCGTGGCCATCAAAGAAGAAACTGATAGTTACTTTGTCAACAACAGAAGCTGAGTTTGTAGCAGCAGCGTCTTGTGCATGTCAAGCACTTTGGCTGAGGAAAATTCTTGAAGAGCTACGGTTCAAGCAACCAGGTTCAACTCATATTTTTTGTGACAATAATTCAGCAATTAAGCTTACAAAGAATCCGGTTCTTCATGGAAGATGCAATCACATAGACATGAGGTATCATTTCTTGCGTGATCTCACAAAGGATGAAGTAATTGATTTTGTTTACTGTAAAAGTGAAGATCAAGTTGTAGATATTTTTACGAAGCCCCTCAAATTGGATTCATTTTTGAAGCTAAGGAAATTGCTTGGAGTTTGTTCGTTGAAGGATCTTGTTTCAGGGAGGGTTGCTCATAAAATTGTGATTAAACTGATTGTTTGCAAACATCAGTTTAAGGGAGGGATTGTTGGAATTGAAGTAATTTAATTTACTTATGTTTTACTGTTCTTTATTAGTGGGTTCGTTTGTTGTCCTAGTCTTTAGGAAACTAAATTAGTGATTTAGTGGTCCATTTCAAATTTGTTAAGAGTCTGTTTTCTGCATTCCTATTTTTGTGGTTATGCTTGAGTCCATTATGTACTGCCTACTATAAAAAGGCATTTCTCGTTAATTAATAAGATGAGTAGTATTATCATTCCTCTCAACATACACGTTTTGCAATACTTTGGTTTGTTCTCTGTTTTCTGCTAACATCCACTATTGCTATAGTCAATGTAAATATTATCACCATTTATAACAAGTGTTACATTTGTAATGCGTATTCCACCACTCCTTGTAGCGTACAATATCACACCTCTGACATCGTCACTTATAACATATTGTGTCATTTCAACAACATCATCACCATCACGCCTCCATCACCATTGCTACTGGACATTTGTAGCATACCTTCACCATAAGCCACTTGCCAACAAAATCATAGCCCGTCCTAGCAACCACACACATGCTCAAAAATCGAGCCTCCACACCACCATCACCATCAGACCTGCTAGTATAAAATCTCTCTATATACAATTTCAAAACAGAACATACTATAAAAGCAAACTGGAATAGGTGAAAAAACTAATTAATACAACGACGTTGGAATGTAAGGAAACATTTATCCGAATTTACTGTATTCACGAGTTTTACATCTGTACAAACGACGATCCATTGTTCATCTCATATGGAAAATTCTGTCTAGATATGATATTACATATAAACGTATACAATATTATTTTTAGTGAATGATTAGGATTGGGAATGAAAAATGTCAATTCAATGGCTCGATCCAAAATACCCTTATCAAAAGAGTTGAGTTGATACGTTTTATGCTAATTACCCTTTAAAATATAACTATTGTAATGATAGTTTACGGTTTTTATTTGTTTCACAAAACTTTAATTTCATTAAAGGTTTTCATTCTTTGCTCAAAGTAAAACTTATTTTTGATTTTTTTCCCCCATTAATTATCACACCTCGGCCTTTATGATGATCGATGTCGGAATATTTTGTTTTAGTACTTTGAAATGAGAGAAAAATAATTGTTGAATTTGTGTAATTATTATTGCTTTTTAAATATGCTGAGCGAATAAATTGTTTTACGCCTCAAGGACTTTTGAACGGAAACTATTACGAAAGACAATGTGTTTGTTAATGAACGTAAGTATGAAAGACAATTTTTTTTGTTAACGGCTGTTTAATGAAAAATACGATGAAAAAAAATTGATGAAGGCTTTGAAACAATTTTTTATTTTATTAATTTCTAGCATTTGACCAGCATTATACGGTGTCTTAAACAGGGATTTGGTTGCATTCATCACTCTTCGACCTCATGCTCGAGTATATGTTCGAGTTGAACGTTCATTCTTTAATAAAAAAATGTTAATAATTACTCGTCAAACTTCTTTTGTAAGCCTAGCTAAATCTTACAAATTCTCATGAGCGATCTCCTCTAATTTATAGTAAGATTTATCGAATATTACTAGTAACTTAACAATTTTAATTACCAAATTGCTCTTCGGTTCTTAAATTTTAGGAAGAGCGCCTAATTTTGTAATTGAACTCACCGTGAGATAACAACATTTTTCATGGGCGTGACTGAATTGATTAATCGATTTTTGGTTGGCATTGAAATTAAAATATCTTAAAGTATTCTAAAAAATTTGCAATATAACGTGAGTGAGTAGACATCAATAGAGTCCAGATTACATAATCGAACAACAGTCCAAATTTGTGACTCACCATCTCCGCGTACAGCAAAAAAGATCAAACAATGCCAGCAACTAAAACAACCTACGAAATCGTTGCCTTCGTTCTCACAGTCGCCGTACTCATCGCCACAACATGCGGCGTCGGAAACCCTTCTATCACAGCCTACGAACTCCTCCAGTCTTATGACTTCCCGGTGGGCATCCTCCCAGAAGGCGTAACCCACTACGATCTCGAGGAAACCACTGGAAAATTCAATGCGTATTTTAAGGGTTCCTGCAGTTTCTCCCTTGAAGGCTCGTACCAGCTAAAGTACAGCTCCAAGATCAGTGGGTACATCTCTAAAGGAAAGTTGACGGGCCTTTCTGGAGTCAGTGTTAAAGTGTTTTTCCTTTGGCTTAATATTGTGGAGGTTGTGAGGAATGGGGATAATCTTGAATTTTCTGTTGGAATTGCATCTGCTGATTTTCCGATTGATAATTTCTACGAGAGCCCGCAATGTGGGTGTGGATTGAATTGCAAAGCTGTTTATAATAATTTACCAAAAGGGAATTTTAGAAGCAATCCATTCACTTCTTCAATCTAGCAGATCTGCAGAGATCGTTAAATCTCGGGTTTTCGAAGATATTAATTTTATTTCCTTAGTTTCATTTGGGATTTATTATTTTTTTCTCGATCGTATAATCTTCAATTGCATATGTGTCCGAATTGTATTATGGGCGTTCTTTTAAATGTTCTCGATTCATTTTCTTGTTGTTAAAAGACAAGATTTAGATGAATAAAGTGGCATCCATCCAATAGCTTAAGCTTTCAGATCAATTAGTTCAATCACTGCACAATTTATCATCGATCTTCTAATATATTGACCCGTGGAGGCTGTGAGAAGTAATGATGATCTCGAATTTTGGGTTAGGATTTCATGTAAAGATTTTAAGGTTTAGTTTCTACAAGTGCTGACATTGTGGCCGTCCATCGGATTGCAAAGCTGTTCATAAGAATGGACAGAAGAGGGTAATGCCTTTGCTTCTTCAATCTAGCAGAGGTCAGTTAGTTTCGCGTTTTCGAAGGTCTTAACTTTTTTCCATTTGTTTTATTTTTGTTTATTACGTTGTTCATTTGTTTTCGAGCCAAATAATCTTGAATTATTTACACGTGAATCGTGATGTGAGTTCTTTATCATTTTCTTTATTCATTTATTTCGGTTCATGATCCCATTTTTTTCTCTCCAATTCATTTGAGATTAATTATGTTGTTCACTTGTGTTTGAGGTGTATATTCATGGAACTGTACGAGTTGAGTTTTTTTTTTCTAATGTGTTCTTGATTCAATTCTTTTTGTTCATGATCCTGCGCCTGATTAATCATGGTTTATAGAATGTGTTATTGTCCAAGTATATACAATATTGTGGAGAAGGAAGAAAGAAAAATGATTGAAACTTATTCCTTTTCCACTGCATTCAATGCTCCGTGTCTTTATATGTATGGTTGGGCTTAATTTTGCATTCGAAAGAAAGGCGAGGAGACAAACATCATTTTTTCCCGTTCGATCTTATTGTTAACATTTTTTCTTTTCCATTTTTTAGTCGACGATTCATGACCATGTTTTAAAGTTATCAGATTATAATTATTGACCTTCTGTGTTGCATGGACACTTCAACTAGAATTGAATGTCCGTGTTCGACACCTATTATGTCGTATTGTCTCAATTATCGATGCTTTTCGTGCACTCTACTATAGTTATTTTTCTATCTTTGACGGTAGTAATATATAGTTTTAACTCAAAGTTGTTATATAATAACAAATATATACTCTTATATAAAAGATTTCAACAAATATTAATAATAAATATAAATATAAATGAAATTTCTAAATAATTTTAATCAATGTGTCGCGTCAGGACTCTTTTTATTAATCGCCTATACATGTGCTGGTGCATCATTGTTGACCTTGTTTCAAAGGTTTTTTTAATCCTCGTGTTCTACTTGATTCACAATTTCATTTTTATTCATTAAGTTGCAATTTTCCTACCAAAGAACATCCTCTTGAAGAAGTTTCAGGATTGAATCCTTGCAATCATCATTTGCTACTACGATTTATTTTCCGAACTCGATTTAGTTCTCAACTGCAGGTGCAACTGGTAAGTGGAAAACAAGATGCTAGTGTAGTTGAAATTATGATTGGCAGGTATTTAAATATGCAGCTTGCCAGTGGTTTTTAGTTATCTGTATTCATGTCATTGGCCATCTAACGAGTTGGGGAGTTCATATATTTTGAAGGCTAATGTACGAGTCAATCACACCAAGTACTTCTATATGTCCGTGGCAAAGATTTATCAACCATATGTATCTAATAAAATTTATTCTCAATGGTTACGTCAAAACTCAGTTAACCAGGGTAAATTATGGTATCTTGAGTGGTGATGCACATGTATTGTCTCACAACATTGCGAAGGATACTTCATTTGCTGATCCATATTTTATGATTTGGTTTCAAGTTCCAACCAATTAGGTCTACTTTGGTGTTGGACCCGTGTGCCTTTTGGTTCCTGAAGCCCTATTTGACCTTGGCCCCTGAGAGCTGTACGGGAGCACTTCCGTGCTTCATGCTTTGTGGGTTACTAGTGCTCTTGAACGCTAAAATGGCTGGAGAATATTGGACGCTGTGGCTTGATTGCTTGTATGACGATCTTAACTCTTAAGGGTTACGTGGGTTTATCCCTTGATTGCTAACGAGCAGTAACGAGTGTGTTCTTGAACTTGTGACACAATATACCTCTGTCTGAAGGTGCAATTGTTGAAGAAATTAAGGACATTTCATTTTATGCTGGAAGGCACATGACGATGGAAATGTGTCTCAGGCACCCAATGAATAAGACTTAATTTATTGCTGTTGCTGCTACGTAAATCATTTTTTTGACATGGATAGAAACTTGACATTCTGATGACAGCATATACCAGACGATTCTTGATTCCTAGTTTGCAGGTGTAATACCTGCCTTAGCCCATCAGTTTTATTCATTGTAGTGAGCAACTTATCATCAATAAACTTGGTTGCAAGGCAGTGCTTGTGTGGATGCTGCATCATATTAACTTGAAAATCGGGAGGAACAAGGCAGCCAACATATGGATCGATAAAGAGAGGATCTTCAAATGCAGACAAGAACAAGAATTTGTCATTATGCAAGGATAAGGAAATAACACTTTTATAAGATTGTTGTGCATACAAGTAAGAAAACCAGGCATCTATATATGCTTGTTTACCATCATTGCTAGTAAGATAACAGTTAAAAAGACAAAAAATTACTCAGCATTCTTCTAAAATATTACTCTCTACATTTTCCCCTCCTCAGCCATATCAATCATGTTATGGTGTGACTGGAAACAAGGACCTTGGGATTATAGCTTTGAAAATTTTATTTAAGCATTGTGGCTCTACTATGAATATGAGGTTTTAATCTATTTATAGGGTCTTAACAAGAGAATTCTATCCACTGAATCAATAACAATAAAGTAGCAATTGAGTTTCAAATGGTTTTGAGCTGCATAAAAATCCGTAGTTGGATGTTTTCAAAAGAAGTAAACCGCGTCTGTATCATAATTATGCTATTACGAATTCTTGACCGCTAACCATTTCTTGCACATCTTTGTGATCATATCCAACTTCTTAATACACATTCGGACATTAACTTGCAAGTTGCAGCATGTACAAATATCATGGGCTAAAATTGCATATCCTTAATCCTTCCAAGATGACACGAAAAAACCCCACACCAAGATTTTATTTCTTAAAAAAATTTGAATAGATATTCACACACCACACATCACCAGCCAAAGAAGCCGACAGATAGAACTAACTCTAAGAATCCATCAATAAATAGAGAGAGATGCAAGAAGAAATGTCTCGATGACATCATGACAAAACTGTTATGCATGCTTACATACGTATACATGGAAATGGAGAGATAATTATGCCTGGACGAAAGGTGTACTTGGAAACGAAGAGAAGATCAGCTTGGAACAACAAATCATCTTTTTCGTTCTTGAGTTAGCATTCAATTAGCAATTTCTTAAAATTCTTACATATATTCACACATCAAAATCCAAAGAAGCACGCAGAGTAAACGAGATCTTTAAGGCTGCACAAAAAAAATCGCGAAACCGCAAATCGAACCGAAACCGTTAGTTTGAAACCGTTGGTTCGGATTCACGTGGACCCGCGATTTTTTTCCCTCAAACCGAACCAAACCGTTTCAAAATGGTTTGGTTTAGGTTTCAATTTTCAAAAATCGCATAAAACCGAACCGAACTGTTTTTTAAATTTTTAATTAAAAATTTAATTTTATTAACTTAGAAATTTTAAGTTTTCATTTTTTAGCAAAAAATATCAATTTAGCAATACAAATTACAACCAACCCATTGAAATAATCATATAAAGTAGAGTAAGTTCATTATTATTGGTCGATGGTTTTATAAGTCCACAACACACCTCCTAACCTGATATCTAATCTAAACTAAAATTATTCCCAAATCAGATGAAATGAAAAATAAAAAGGATTTATTTTCAACAATCCAAATTATAATTTAACAAAATTACGACTCACACGTCCTGACCCGATATCTAATCTAAACTAATTAATACCAAATCATATGGAATAAAAAAAAATTCATTTTCAACAATTCAAATCATAATTTAACAAAACTACAACAACAAATCAAGCCCACAACTTCAGATCTAACCTAAACTCTCATTTCTCAAACATTTGATGCTTGTCTGCCACTGTTGAACAAAATGCGATTCCCAATGGCAAAATCTCTAGTCACCTTTTGCTTGTTAGTCTGCTAATTTCTACCCGAATCACCTCTTTCTCTCTTCTCTCTTAAAAAGTCTTAGATTCATATTCAAGTCATTTTTTTCATTGTTCTTTCTTTCATTTGTTGTTTTTGAACTTATTATACACTTGAGAGTTTTGATTTAGATAAAAAAAAATGAATGTTTATGTGCATGGGTGATTAATGAACTTGTTTGTGGTTTAGAAAGAACGAAGGATATAGTGTATTGATTGTGTAAAAATGTTATAGTACTATTACATTCTATTTTCTCAAAGTCGTTAGANAATATATTATTATAATGTTTATAGGTAAATCGCGGATTAAAACCGAACCAACCCACAATTTATGGTTTGGTTTGGATTGATTCGAAAAATAAAATAGTTTGGATTGATTTGAAAAAATTAGAAATCGCACGAAATAATTTGAGTTGAAAATATAGCACAAACCGTCCAAACCGAACCGTGTTCACCCTAACATCTTATAACCCATCAATGAAAATTGGCAGATAGATGCCTGATGAATTGTCTCAATGACATCGTCGACAAAACAGCTACACGTGCTTTCTTGTACATAGAAATATAGAAATGGCCATGCCTGGACGAAGGGTCTGCTGGAAACGAAGAGAAGCGCGTTCAGTGGCGGCTTGCAACAGCAAGTCACCTTCTTCTTCGTTGAATTTGGCATTCAATTTAAAATTTCTCCTTATTTTCTTGGAAACGTAAAATAGTGATGGAAGTGGGTGCAGATGAACATGGACA